AAAACGCTGTACCATTAATAATGAGTCCAGCCACCATCGGCATTGATAATTGCCTGGCATCTCCGAGGCTACTTTCCACTACAGTCTGTAAAGTAAGAGCGTGTACGTGTTAATGTGTAGAAAAATTTAGTTTTAATGATTTTTAAGTACATAGATTTGTTGTACTCCATGAGAAGAAAAACGTTATACCATTAATAATGAGTCCAGTCACCACCGGCATTGATAATTGCCTGGCATCTCCGAGGCATACTTTCCATTAAGTTGACTGCGTATTCGTTCGGTAAAGACCTCCAAATGAGACGAATTTGTCGTGTCAGCTGCTTCAAAGTGCACACTCTTTTTCCTCAAAGCTTGTGCTTGAGATATGCCTCACAATACGGCTAAAAAAAACTAGGACGATATTTGAAGCCAACTGCCATTTATGCCGTACACGCTCTTACTTTACAGACTGTAAGTTGCTGCGACGCTTGGCTCTTTCGCCCAAAAGCCTGGAAAGCATTTTCTTGCCGAGTATCGGCCGGCGAAATGTCCTAGAGAGTAAGACAAAGACAGCGATCAATCGTTCGTCTTTGTCAAACTGACTTGACCCAACCTTCCAGCTCTTGTGCTCGCGCGCACGGTGTTGGTTCGCAGTCTCGCCGCACGAGGCCCCCAAGGTCAACCCTGGATTGCCTCTGGCTCCTGTGGCAGTGATATCAGATGCAATATATTGCGATGTTACAGCGCATGCGTGAGATGACGTGCTCGCTGCTTAAGTAAAAGCCCCAGTATCGTATCTTTTTTAAGGTATTATAGCGCCCGTATTATACTATATATTGAGAATTGCAATCGAGTAAATTAGATAATCTAAATCGTGGTTGTTTTAATTGGTCCGATAGTAATTCTCAATCTATAGTCTTATATGAGTCTAATACAAATATTATGTAACAGTTACATAATTGAGTGAAAAATTATAATGTTAATGTAACGTAACTGTTACTTAGTATCCACTGGAATTATAATGTTAGTGTAACTGATATTTAGTATCCACTGAACAATATAACCTAAGATAAGGCACTCGCGCAAGAAACACGGGAAAACTACGCTGCAACCTGGAAGACAGCTGATCGGATAGCGCGGGCCGCTTCATGGACCCTACGATGCGCTTTATTGCCGTCATTGGCATAGAGACTACGTCATCTCACGCATGCGCTGTAGCGTCGCAATATATTACATCTGACATCACTGTCCTATGGTGTGATTCTGTAATTCGTTATTGGAGTTAACGATACTTTCGTTATCGTTGCGCAGCTTTTCTACGGTATACAAAAGCTGCGCAACGATAACAAAAGTGTCATTAACTCCAATAACGAATTACAGAATCGATATACTGCAGACCTTTAACGATCTTTATTATTTGGTCTGTTATTTGTAACTGCACTGCTGAACTGGTGCAATAAGCTAAAGTGAGAAAACCTATATTTATCTTACTTTAACTGTCTCGGTGGTAATATTGCGCAAGAATATAGCGAAAAATTTCTTAATATCTGCAGGAGCCACACTAGAGACCTCTCGCGGAGACCTGCGAACTAAGCAAAATTATATTGCAAATTATGAATAAAATACGAAGAGAATCACCTTATATGTATGATATTTGCAATCAGGAGAAACGTCCGCAGGGTCGTATAGAGCGCTTTTCTGGAAAGAAAGTCGAAATAAAAATCGATTAAATAATTTGAATGAACGTTCATCCCACGGTGCAGTACGAACCTATATTTTCATTTATTACAAATTTTCAAGAACCTAAACGCAAAATCGGGCTCTGTACGACCCAAGATATTAATATAAGGAAGATATCCATGTATGTCTGATAAGCAAATATGATGTATGCGTGGCAAAATTTGTAAGTGTAGACATCACGGAAAGTGTACCCCAGTTGCACTATAGTGCAGTCTATATAACCTAACCTTCCTGCCTTGCGTTCGTGCGTGCGAGCAATGCATTAGTATTGGCATATATATGAGCAGTGCATAAGTATTGCCGTGTGTATGTATATGAATACCTTCCAGCTTTCACTTTAAAACATAAGATATTTTGCCACGTTGACGATATATGTAACCACCAAATTGATATGGAATATTCCTTGAACTATTGTCGAGGTTCCTACAGAGTCAAATTTTACAATCCGGCCGTCAAAAATTTATCATATATTAATAAAGCATCCGCCGTATCAAGCATCGCTGCGAGTCACTCGAAATATCATTTTACGAAATGCAATATTTCATCTCTTTGACGATACGTATTATTACCAAATTGTTGCAGCATCTTCTTCGTACTACTCCCGAGATACAAAGCCGGATTTTGCAATCCGGTCGTCAAAAATTTATAATATATAAATAAAGCCATCCGTCGTACCAAGCGTTGGAGCAAATCAGTCGAAAAATTATTGTAGGAGATGCAAAATTTCACCTCGTTGACGATATGTTTCACCGCTAAATTGTTATAGCATCTTCTTTGAACTATCCCCGAGAAACCTACAGAACCAGATTTTGCAGTCAAGCCATGAAAAATGTATCATAAATAAATAAAGATGTATGAATATATTTCTCATGTTCCAAAATTGTACGTGACATGCTGCAATGCCTGGTACAGTCTTTTATATACGATAAATGTTAAACGGCCTGATTGCGAAATCTGGCTTTGTAGAGACCTCGGGGATAGATCGAAGAATATGTTATAACAATTTGGTACTGATATATGACAGCAACGAGGCAAAATATTTTTTCTTGTAACATGGTGCTTCGCGGGACTCGCTGTGATGTTTCGTACGACGCATGCTTTATTAATATATGATAAATTTTTGACGGCCGGATTGCAACATCTGGCTCTGTAGGGACCTCGATAATAGTTCAAAGAATATTCCATATCAATTCGGCGGTTACATATATCGCCAACGCAGCTGAATATCTCTTCTTGTGAAATTGTATTCGCGTGATCCGCCTTAACGCTTGATGCATCTTCATTTATTTATAATAAAAGTTAGACGGCCTGATTGTAAAATCTGGCTTTATGAGGATCTTGGGAATAGTGTTAGAAATATGCTATAACAATATGTTGATGTTATATTACATCAGTGAAATAATATATCTCATTTTGTAAAATGGTATTGTACTATACGTGATCCGCTCCGACGCTTCAAACATCTTTATTTATTTATGATACATTTTTCACGGCCTCACTGCAAAATCTGATTCTGTAGGTTTCTCGGGGATAGTTCAAAGAAGATGCTATAACAATTTGGCGGTGAAACATATCGTCAACGAGGTGAAATTTTGCATCTCCTACAAGGATTTTTCGACTGATTCGTTCCAACGCCTGGTACGACGGACGCTTTATTTATATATTATAAATTTTGGACGACCAGATTGCAAAATCCGGCTTTGTACCGATCTTGGGAATAGTACGAAGAAGATGCTGCAACAATTTGGTAATAATACGTATCTTCAAAGAGACGAAATATTGCATCTCGTAAAATGATATTTCGAGTGACTCGCAGCGACGCTTGGTACAGCGAACGCTCTATTAATTGATAAATTTTTGACGGCCGAATCGCAAAATCTGTAGGATTCTCGAGGATTGTTCAAGGAATACCATAATAATTTGGCGGTTATAACATTGTCAACGAGGCAATATATTTGTTCTTGTAAAATTGTATTCCGCCTGACTCGCTGCGATATTTGGTACAGCTGACGTTTTATTTGTGTATAATAAATTGTTGACGGCCTGTTTGTAAAATGTAACTCTGTAGAGATCTCGGGAATAGTTGTAGAAATATGCTATAACAAGTTCATGGTCATATTGTTGTATTCGACCCACAAGGTTTGTGGTAGCGTCCGTTGTCCGCGAGCCTTAGGCATCTGATGCTGATTTTGACATCCGAGCGAGGATTGTCCTGACGACGGAAAATCGATAAGAAGTAAACAACAAGAACAGCTGACAGAGAGTCTCTGGCAAGCTGTCATCGAAGACAGACGCGAGAATTCAGAATTATTAAAATAGAGAATTATTCTTGTTTAAAGCGTGAGCGAGTTATGCTGTAAATATTAAAGCTTCTTGGTCGTTACGCGGGTGTTTTCATTTACCTGAGTGCAAGCGCGAGTGTGAAAGTGAGCGCAACAATATATTACGTCAATAAGGCAAAATATTGCTTCTTGTAAAATGGTATTCCACCTGACTCGCTGCAACTCCTGGTGCGGCTAATACTTTATTTATATATTATAAATTTTTGACGGCCGGATTGTAAAATCTGGCTGTGTAAGGTCCTCAGGGATAGTTCAAGGAAGATGCTGTATCAGTTTAGCAATTATTCGTATCGTTAACGAAGCGAAATTTTGCATCTTGTAAAATAATTTTTGGAGTGATTCACTGCGATGCTTGGTACGGCGAACGCTTCATTTATTTTTCATAAATTTTGGACGGCCGGATTGCAAAATCTGACTTTGTGGGGATCTCGGAAATAATATAAGGAACATGCTATAATAATTTGGCGGTGATATATAACGTCAGCTAAACAAAATACGTCAATTTGTAAAATGGTATTGCACGTAAGTCGCTGCGACGCTTGGCTCACTCACTCAAAAGCCTGGAAAGCATTTTCTCGCCGTATATCGGCCGGCGAAATGCCCGAGTGAGTAAGACAAGGACAGTGCGATTGATCGCCTTGTCAATCTGACTTGATCCAACCTTCCTGCTCTTGCGCTCGCGCGCACGATGTTGGTTCGCGATCTCGCCGCACGAGGTCTCCAAAGTCAACGCTGGATTTGTCTCTGGCTCCTATAGACCCTCAAATAGTATTAAATTAAATAGTATGATAGTAAATTAAATAGTATGACTAAAGTCAAATAATTAAGTGGACCTTTTTATTTTCAAATAATACGACTTCGTTATTTAGGCTCTTTTCTTCAACATTGTCCATTACTACTTATTCTTAATAATGCGGACCTATCACATAAAGTTTACCCTTTCCACTGTCCATTTTCCCGCGGATTTTATCACAATGGCAAAGTGATGTTAGTGATGTGCTTGCAATGCTGTTTTTGAGTGGTATAGCATTAGGTTTTTGCTAAGAGTTGTTCCCTTTTGGATTAATATTTTTTTAAATTGCCGTTGCTAGTTGAATATCGACACACGATTTGCCTGGACCCTTCCCGTTCATTGAAATCTTCGTATAGGTTAGGACGACAATGTCGCATTGACAGATCTGTGCATCTCGTATTACTGTTATAATAATTATTGAAAAACGTCTTCGAGGATCGTATTTAAAAAACTACGAGATAAATTAAGGTGATTTAATTGTCATTTTGTTGAAATATATGATTTTCCTTATGTTCCAATTTCTTTATTAAAGAGGAAAAAATATTTAGTAATGCTTTCTTTTAGCAAATTTAATCAAGAAAATAAAAGCAATGGACGTTTCTATAGAAGATGACGACTGTACAATAGAAGTAATCACACATTCACAGAAGAAAAAACTAAAACAAGGTATTTTTACTTCAAAGTTTACTTTAGAAACATTTGTAGTATATCTTCTATATGCATATAGAATATGTATATGTTTAATTGGTTATTTCAGCACGGCTGCCATTTCAAACGTTAAGTGCTTCTAAGTCACCAAACAGTACAAACAATGTGCCCAATAAGAAGAGAAAAGTAGTATCACCTTTAGAAGAAATCAAGAATAGTAAACTAACAAAATATACAAAGGAAAATTCTGCTAAAAGCATCTCAAAGGATAAAGAAGAAGTGGGAGAAAAGTCTGATACTGATGTAGAATGTAATGAATTAATATCGGATGAAGAAAAAAAAGACTTGGAGCAAAGTAGTAAACAAGATCATGAGAAGAAGGAGAAAATTGATGTTACGCCAAAAAGGAGTTCTGTAACAAAAAGTAAAACACTTGAAAAATCTCGAAAGAAATCTGGTGCTTTGACGAAGTTTCTCATGAAGGCAGATAGTGAGCCTTCAAGTAATATAATTTGTGATAGTAGTTCACTTAAATCAAAGGATTGTCAAAATACAACAAACTTGCAGTCTCTGGAATCTCCATTGCTGCATACGTCTCGAGTGAGTGAAGAAACAGAAAATGTTATTGTTTTAGAAGATTCTACTACATGTGTGAAATCAGACTCTGATGTCGCTATTTTATCTTCGGATACTGACACTCAAAGTGACTTAGACAAGTCGAGAACAAGTATGAATGAAGAAAAAATTAAAAAACCTACAACTCCAACTACTTCAAAGGATGACAAAGATGCGATGATGAAACTTAAGAAATTAACACCTAGACAAATAGAAAAGAGAAAGGAAATAGCTAGGAGAAAGGAGGAAAGAGCAAAATTAAAAATGGTATGTTACATGATAAAGGCTTAAGTTCTTTTGTCAAATGTATTTTCACTTTATGCTTCAATATTATCATTTATTTTTCATCTCTTAGGAGAAAGAGAAGAAACGTTTAGAGGAGAAAGTGAATAAGCGTAGGGAGAGACAGGAGAAACAGAAAGAAAAGGAAGAAAAGGAGAGACTAGAGAAAGAGCAAAAGAAAAAGGAGAAAGAATTAAAGGAGCTCAAGAAACAGATGGAAATCGAGTATGAATAATACTTAATTATACTTTGTTATCATCTTTTATTGTCCTTTCAGTAAATATTATTTGTTATTACAGACAAAAACAGAAAGAGAAAGAAGCGAAAGAGGAAGAACGAAGAAAACGAGAGGAGGCTAAAGAGGAAGAAAAGAGAAAAAAAGAAGAGGAAAAATTGGAGGCTGAGCGTAAGAAGCAGAAGGCAGCGTCGAATTTTGCCAGTTTTTTTGTTTCTAAAAAACAAGAAGCTAAATCCATGGAAGAGGAAAGTATTGTCGAAGTGAAAAATTTTATGCCCTTTGAGGTGAAAGTTGACATGCGAATCGCGCCGGTGTGTCGAAGAACGTTGAGTGAACACGAAAGATCATTATTCGATGAAAAATGCAACACAAAAGATGCAAAGTCCGAGCTGTATCTCGAGAATGTTAGAAAAGGTAGAATCGTACCACGAGTTTCTTCTAAAACATGGCCGCTGGAAGCGAAGGATAACGACATCATTTTATTAGGTAAATACTACGTTTGTGCTTTAGCTAAGCTATGCGAATAGAATAATTTGATAAATCAACTCAAATTAATGTACTAATATATAGGCTGCGTTCCGAAATTCACTGCCAATACTGAAAATACATAGTTTGTGTCACGTATAGATTTTCAGTGCTGGCAGTGAATATTGGAACGCAGCCATAATATGATAGTAAATGTAATATGATAACACTCTAGACATGAACTTAACCTAATTTTGCCTTTTTTTACGTACTATATGTATTACGTAATATTTGATTACTCATATGCTCAGATTATTTTTTAAATAACCGAGTATCAGAGAAATATCCGAAAACTCAGGATATCAACTTTTGCATATTTTGATTCAATTATTTCTACAGACGAGGATGATGATGGCAACTCTAACATAATCAGGGAGACGCGTTATTTGGAGAAACACCGACCGAAGTTACTGCAGTTCGGGGACAACCGTCGTCCTCCATACTGGGGCACGTGGAGAAAACGCAGCAGCGTCATAAGTCCTAGGCGGCCGTTTGTGAAAGATCAGGTAAGAATCATCGTTCTCACATTCAATAATGTCAAAGGGAGATCGAAGAGAACGAAGTTAGACTTCAAAGTAGTCGCAAAGAACAAAACACGAATGTGCGTGTGATTTTCTGGTGATAGGATTTTATTATCACTCATATAATATTGATAAAAATTTCTTATTGAAGTAACTCTTTTAACTGCCACTAAGGAGGACTGATCGTTCTAATACTAGGTAGATTGAAAGTAATCTCTCTTTGGATCCAATATAATCTTCACTTAATCGCGCCGATTGTATTTCCTCACAGTTGAAGAATTTCGGCGTGGCTAACCTACTTTTATCTTAATAAATTTGCATGATAAATCCTTCGATCGTCATGGAATCGTCGTGGAAACAACGCAAGACGCTATGTCATTCTGTCGAACAGTTCACATCCAGTAGTTCTTAACGCTCGATAGACTAAGAAATACGCTTCTGGAAGTTACAGAATGTGCTAAATGTGCTTCGAGCAGCAGATAGAGACGCGAACTCTTTTTAGCATCATCTAATTGATTTTTATGAATAAAATGAACAACGTTTTATCTAGTTCTCGACCTTCCATCGACCGTCAGTCGTTGTAAGCGTTAAGAACAACCGTTACTAGTTCGACAAGTTATCTCAATGTTAGCTAGTGTTTACGTACTTTAAGCACTGTACGCGTCGATCTTCTTATATACTATATAGAAGGTATGTCGCGTGCGTTAACGCGTTCGCCTGTCGATTTCGACCCGCGTCGGTTCTAAATCTCCGCTGGTAGAACATTCATCTTGCCGCCGCGCAGTCCTCTAGCCCCGTGGAACAACGGATAGGCGTTCTTCCGATGCACCTTGCGATGTTTGGCCAGGTGATCGCTGCGCGCGAATTTCTTCGAGCACATCTCGCACTGATACGGTTTCACGCCGGAGTGCGACCGTCGGTGTCTGGCCAGCTCGTCCGATCGGCTGAAACGCCATCCGCACCCGGACCAAGTGCACGCGAACGGTTTCTCGCCAGTGTGTCGGCGCAAATGAGCTTTCAAGTGGGATGCTTTCGCGTAGACCTAAAATCCAGATTTGACGATTCGCTCAAACTAGCTGACTCCAGTAGGTCGCGTCGAGTCAACAAATGAGACTCGACGCGACGAGAGAGTAGCGAATTTTATAAAGAATAGACTATACGTTCCACACGACGAAGGCGAGTCCGTCATTCGTTATGGACAACGTTGGTACACATTTTGCACCTATATTAACACCGTGTGTAATTTTCGAGAAAAGAATCTTAAGAAATATCATCGTCAGAGTCCTCAGATGTACGATCAAGTCAGAGTCAAACAAGCCAACGAATGTCGATTTTTCTTTTTTTTTTTTTTTTTTGCTGATTAGAAATATATCAGGAATATATTTAATTTCTTTTCTTTACGAGAAACGGTGGCTTCGTTCTTTTTGTACGAAACGACTGGAAAATATTGCACATCGAGCGGGTCGTTACCTTCACACACCCTTGATAAGTACACGGGAAGCACCGGTCCTCGGTCGCAGTCGCTAAGCTGCGATTGGTGTAATCATGCGTCGCCAACGCGGCGGTAGCTGCTGACGAGATTAGGAGGCTGTCGTCTAGCTGGTTGTTGTTGTAATCTGCAATCGAGACGCGTGCACATTAGTCGCGTGAGCTTAACGCACGATCATCGAGAGAGCGTGGACGTTCCGGACGCGGTATCGCTTTTATTAGCGTTGCGCGCGATACGTTAATTGCCTTTATCTCACGAGGAACACGGATCGACTCGCCGGTACGACCGCGATATCCGCGAGCTTTCGCGACGCGATAGTTTCACGCACCTATCGCGCTAGTTCCTAGCGTGTTCTCCAACGTGCACAAGTCGATCCCGAGCACCAGCAGCGGCTCCTCGTACTGCGGCGTCTGCTGCGGATTCGGCAGCGGCAGATGCAGAAATCCTTCGCATCCCGCGGTGCACAGCGGCGTCCTTTCCGGCAGACCGGAGTTCCAGCTCTTCTCCAAACACCAGTCTAGTTCCGAGTCCAGTTCGCTCAATTCGCTCAGGCAACCTGCACAGACGAGCGCGAAGGCAACGCGTGCGATTAGCCGGAGCGTGTCTCGTATAGAAGGCTGCGATATTCTCTCGTTTCTGCAGCGTCCGTGATCGATTTTTCGATACACTTACAAGGCTAAATTTGTTTTTGATAATGCGTCGTGTATCATACGTTGATACTCGGATATCTTTCTTTAACCTTATAATTAAAAAATATAGAACCTCACCACACAAGGATAATCCGTCGTACCGTTTTTTTAAATATTTCAAATAGTACCGGAGCATGTCTCATAGCCGACATAGGCGACAATTGTCAGAACGACTCACATGGTCTTTGTTCATTCTGAAATTCATCGAGCTGAAAAGTACTGCGAAGCTATATTCTTTTTTACTTGACGGATGCCGGGGAAAATTCTCCTCGTATGTGTTTGGATTTTTAATTATTATATACACGCGATACGTGGAAATGCATACCTGACGATGTGGACGTATTGGTGGTCGACCAGTCGTTCCACAACGACTTCGTGGAGTAAGTTAAATCGGTGTAGCATTCCATTGGATTCGTCGCGATGCTCGACTGACTGTTGATCAGGCCGAAGTCGTCGCTGAGCGGAGCCTCGCACGACACCTCGTAATCGTACGGTAAATTCATCTTGGTCGGAGAGAGTAGTTGTCTCTCGACACCAGTGTCCATCGTCAGACCCAGGCTAGAGAACAGCAGTTCGTCCGTCATCTACGAATAAACGCAGATGAACGTCCGTGAGAGGGAGGTTTCTTTACCTCAAATTATAACTTCAAATTTCTGTCCTCGCAGTTTCCCCTGTTCCCGCAGATTCAATGCTCTTCGACAGACGATCGTATTATTTACACGATCAGACGCATCAGATCGAAATATGGTTTGTGTTTCAATGCAGCAAAGTCGTTCTTTCATTAATTAAACATCGTGCGAATTTGACTTGCGACTTGAACCCGCGCACGCACCGTTGCGTTATACTCACATCGAACGTCATGGCTTCCTCGATCATGATGACGAGAGATCAGCCGACTAGGATTGAGATCAATCTCTCGCACGGGAGTGCACTTTTCGCGTCGCGAGAGTCGCGCTGTCAAAATTACAATTCTTCCAACAACAATCGCGTCCGGTGTCCAATGTGCATGGTCGCACCGAGGCTTCTCCGAGTCGGATTCGCGTTTCTCGATCACACGAGATCACCCGTCGTCTATCGGTCGTCTAAGTGGACTTGGGCGATTATGGTACTCGCGGTGTATTCCGGCGATATATCAGTCAAGTCGTGGCTCGCTCGATCGCACTGTATCATAGTCGCGCTCTCCCTGGCGATGAGAGACGGAGCGCGTCGTGTCCGCGACGATCGATCGCAGATCGATCGAGATATCAGATCGGAGCAGCAGCGAGAACGACGGTGACGACGGTGGTTGAGCGGTGGATTCCGTTCGAGAGCGACTTGGAGCGCGGAGGAAGACTCATATTTCGACTCGACCGCGATCGCTGCCGTGAGGAATTATCGAGGCGACCTTGAACGCGGGTTATACGGTGACAATGCATTCGTCGCGCGAAAGGCATGCGTTCGTCGGCGAAAAGCGAGTAAACAGCACCGACGAACGGAGAAGCGCGCGCGCGCGCGCGCACGTCGAGGTCGGGGGTCGTGATGTCGCCGAGACCGCAACTCGATCGAGACTGCAACTGGTGCTCGTCCTCCAACCGAGAAGACGTCGGCGAGAGCGTGTGACGAGAGTACGTGGCGCACGGCTCCCCCGAGATAAGGATGTTAGCCTGTGCCACCCGGTGCTGTCACCGCGCCGATCCCAAGGGACCGGCCGATCGCGCGAACACCGATCCAGAACACCGAGAGCGCGAACGCGCGCCAGCCAGCACTACCGTCACCATCATCATCATCAACACCACCACCACCACCACCGTCGTTGTCGTCGTCGTCGTCCTCCTCCTCCTCCTCCTCCTCCTCCTCCTCCTCCTCCTCCTCCTCCTCCTCCTCCTCCTCCTCCTCCTCCTCCTCCTCCTCCTCCTCCTCCTCCTCCTCCTCCTCCTCCTCCTCCCCCCCCCCGCATCGTCATCGTTTCTCCTCTCTTGGTCCGCCGATATTAGTCGTTAGAGATGGGATTGAGTATCTCGCAAACGGCTTAGCCAGGAAGCCGGCAAGCCGGTAGTTCCGAGTTGCTTTTTTTTTACAACTTTTTCACAACTATAATAGCGGCCGAAACGAAGGGAAAAATGTGCGAAACCGAGACGGACGGTGGAGAGCGACGGAGACTTGAGCTTGGAGCTTGAACGTACACGCGAAACGTCATGAAAATTTTTATTTCTTTTTTCGTTCTGCTCTTTTGTTATTATTTTTTTATTGTGCTCTTGGAGGTTCCAAGTGGCGTCCCTCTGTTGATCGCAATTTTGCTTTACATTCGGTAGTTCTCTTTTGTTTGTTTGTTCGTTCCGTTGTGAGTACGTGGGATCGAATCTAAGTACTGGCTGCGATACCCGGGTTCGTCAGTGCATATCGATTCTGCAACTTGATTCCATTCCTGTCGATCGGATTTTCGCCTCTTTTTCGTTTTATTTCTTTGTTGGATTTTTTTTTTTTCTCTTTTTGCGGCCCCAACTGCGGCGCCATCTCTGTTGATCGCGATTTTTCTCGTGACTTCTCTCGCGCGGGATTGAATACCGCGCGGCTTCGCCAGAACGTGTCGTGAACTTGATCCCATCCCTACCGATCGGACAATTAGCCCGCTTATTTACGATTCCCCGGACAGCAGCGGCGATAATCGCGATGCTCTCGCCGCCGGCTATCGGCACCGCGCTGATTTCGCGTCGCGGATTCGGAAGAGAGAAAGAGCGAGAGCACCCTCTCTTCGTCTTCGGGGATGTCTCGGGGATGCCGTCGCGTTGTCGTGCACGTGGCTCAGGCACCAGATAGACATGTACTATATATATAATATATATCTCTGTGGCAATTCCAATTCGTGATGTAATCTGAGGAGCGGACTGCTGGATCCATACTCCGATCGAGCGTACGTACAAGCACGGCGAGGGATTATCTCGCGATTTCGTGACGTTGCGAGGCTCCGGGAGAGCGCGTCGAGGAAACTTTTTTCCTTCATGAATCGGACGGACAGTCGCGCGCTCCGTTAGGCGATATCGAATTATCTTCGCGAAAATTCGTGCGTGTTCCCGAAGAAAATGGTCGTGCGTGCAAGTTGCTGAAGCCCGGATTTTTTTTCACGACGAGAATCTAATCGGTGCGATCAGTCCCTTCTGTCTTTTCAGCTCGAGCAAATTTTACATTTTTGCGCACGTTCGTTTCCCGTGTCCGGCTGTTTCTCTCTCCTCTTTTATGCATATTTGTTTCTCTGTCACATTTTGTGTAACACTTTCACTCTCTTTCCTAAATTATTTTATCCTAAATTATTATATGCCTCATGTTTGAATCTTTTGTAGATTACGTACTTTATTATTTCATCTTTCAACACGCACATATGCATCGATCAAGGGGGATGGGTATCTCCTCGGTCTCTTCTTGAATTACGCAATTAGAAGTGATTGTGATTCGCGAGTCTTGTCCGGCGGGAAGCGTTTGTTTCCTTTTCACCGAAAATCCTACAACTCGGACGTTACTGATCAGCCGAGAATGTCGTCACGGCGCGGCGGCGAGCGAGACTTCGAGAGTCCGAATTAACATCGGTTGTTTTGCGATCGCGACCGAAAATCGCTGACGGTTGTATCGAACGAGAGCTGTTGACCCGAAACGGCGGACGGATGAACGAATCTTCGCGGATTATACACGAAGATTATCGTCGAGGAAAAAACGACAAAAGCGAAATGACGAAGAAGAAGAAGAAGAAGCAGAACACGATGCACGGTTTCTCATCGCGCGTATTCGACTCGACTTCGCGCAACGCGCCGACGATTTTCGTCTGCAACACGACGCGATGACAACTTTGACCCAAAGCGCGACACGGAGGCCCGATAAAGGTGTCTCACCCGAGTCACCGTCATTAGGAGTTCGATCGCTCGTTTATCATTGCGGGGCTGACCTTAGACCTCGCAACGTTGTGCGCACTGCCTCGCGCTCAATTGACGATTCGTGAGAGCTTGAACCAATCGTCCGTGGCGAAAACAACGCGTGCATAGGTGAAATTAATTCGAGAGATCGGATGTGACATCTGTCGGATTTGTTGATCGTCCCGGCCGTCCAAGACGCGATTCCGAACTGATCGCGAAATCGCCGGTAGCGAGTCGGTAGCGAGGAAATGACAGGAGAAACCTCGGCTGCAATATCGAGTGGGACGTAAACGCTCGCGGGGATTAAACGTCTTCGTGGGGGAAAAAATCTGCCGTTACAACTGGGAAACTACTGGTTCGGGAAATCTACAGCCGAAATAATATACAGGTGCTTCCGTGCCGCGCTGACTAAGTTTCAGAGCTAAATGAAATTGTTGATCGTACCGAGTAAAATTTGATACTGTAACGCGGGTGGATTTGCAGAGAAACAATGATTCCAGCAGAACCGATGGAAAATACGGCTCAGAATTTTTTACGGAACGATGCTCGAGATAATTGCTCCTTCTGCCGTTGGATTGACGGAGATTCGGAAAAACACCGGTGGATTTGATCACGTGGAACGAATAATTGTTAACCACAATCTCCTCATTGGCAAAATCGGATCCGCTCAATGCTGAAAATCAAGCCTCAGATTTCGTCAAACTGCGAATCCGAGAGCGATCCATTTCTTTCCGCGAATCTACGCGCGGAGATTTCCCTCGTTTCCGGCGTTGCGTCCCTTCAGACTCTCATAAACTCTCGGAGCGCGCATGCCCCGCGTGTTAATTATTCGAAATTATATGCGCGGCTACCAGAAATTTTACAATGATACTATATATATAGAATGTTGATAGAGATAGGAATAGTGAGATAGCGAGAGGAACAGAGAGAGAGAGAGAGAGAGAGAGAGAGAGAGAGAGAGACATGTAAACGCAGTTACACGTCGATGTCTGATACGTTGGCACGCGCGGATATCGGATGAATTTCGTGTTTTATCCAGGAGCGATATATCTCACTGACGTTCGTATACGCTACGTAATATTCCGCGAATACACCGCGCTTTCGCGCGCAACTCACGTGCGGCTGTTTTAACCCTTTCGATGCGGCGCGGTGCAACCGGTATCAATTTTCATCCCGATTGCCGCTCAATCGCGCAACGTACCTCCGTGATTTTGTCCGGGCATTAACGAGTATAACATTCTATTCCGGCATTATGGCAGAAAATGATTATCGCGCGAATGCGAATTACGCTACGCGCTCTTTCCACGTTCTCGGAATATCGAGGAGAAAAATTAAACCCTCTTTCGGAAAATCGTTCCCCCTCTGAGACATCACTTCATGAGACTCAAAACGTGGAAGGAAGGAAGCAAGGAAGGAGGTAGTAGTCGCGCTGTCTTCGTCGAGCAATTACGTTCATCTACGCAGAGAGTTATCGCGCTCGCGTTGGTTGAAACACGAGTGATGCGCGTATGCTGGAAAAATGTCGGTGTTGCTTAACGTATATATTTTAATTAAAGTATCAGTCGCAGTTGCGCGGCGTCGTCACTTTCGCGCGATAGTCCGTTTCGCGCGAAATTTATGTGCTCGGAGATAACGCACGGCGTGTTTATCTTGTGACGCATTTTAGAACCTGCATTGTTATGAACTGCGTGGAATACCGTGAGCGGAATAGCGCGCGCCTATTTCATTTCCTTGTCTCTCGTTCTCATTCTCTCTCTCTCTCTCTCTCTCTCTCTCTCTCTCTCTCTCTCTATCTATCTCCTTCGCGCAGTCCATTCGATCATTGATATTTATTTCTAAAACACTCATCATGAGGGATAAAAAAGATCTCTCAACCGAGCAAACGTCGTGAGGAATTTTCCGTCAAAAAGTCACAGTTCAATCTCCGAGAATTTAGAAATAGAATTCTCCAGTCGTTCGCGAGAACCCCCATTTCGATCGTTCAGAAATTCAGATTGCCCCTCGGAATATTCGTAAATATCCGTGTCGATGATAAAAAATATCGGGCGTGGCGAGCTTGAAAAAAAAAAAGAAGGACAATTAAATCGGTTTACGACGGAAACGCGACTCTCGACGAGCGCGTCTGCTTTCGAGAGCGCGCGCGGCCTCGTATCGCGGAGCCCACAAAGCGTTATTACAGGGCTAATCACGTTTTACGGCGATGACAGTTCACGAGCGGCAGCGGGAGGGCGGGCACCGATTTCCATGCGCCGCGGCCGCGCGTCGTCTCGGTCACGCTATATAATATAACGGCCGTAACGAAGTGCAGGTCTAGCCGAATATTCGTGAAATAAATCAGTCCGATTGCCGGCCTCCTAATCTACGGTGTGCACGACGAGGAGCACCGGTCGTAATCTTAATGGGGCATAAAACAGCCATTACAGATGGCCCGGCGGGCGACAACACGCTGTAAATAATGTACGGCGCTTCGGCATGCACCGGCGAGCGTTAGCGCATCCCGCGCCCGCAGGCCGAGATAACTGCGCTTTCCTTCTTGGGCGTTGCGCATCCTTTCGGCCACGTGTGCGTGCGTGCGTGCGTGCGTGCGTACGTGCGTGCGTGCGCGCGCGAAGGGTGCCCCCGGTGCTGTGGGGTGAAGGGGGAAGGGTAGGTCTGCTTAGGATTCTCTCGACATCCCGGTGTCGCGTGAACGCGTGAAGAGCCGATACGATTGGTTAGTAGCCGGGGGTCGTAAGGCATTAACCGGGGATAGATAAGATTTCCTTTCAAAGTCGCGTCCTCCGCTCGTGGTGAGAGGTTTCTTCCTTTGATAATTGCGCGGGCTATTCTCTCTCTTGTCTCTGCAGTTTCTCGCTCGACGAGAGCGGTTCAGCTTTCAGCTTTGATTTCTGCCATTAAATTTAACACCTAGACACTATTTCGTGAGCGTGAACGCTCGAACATGAGTAAGTGGAGGATCGACAAGTGAATAAATAAATAAGTAAACGAAACGCGAAGAGGAGTCGGACGAGGAGCGAGGAAGGAAATGTACGATTGGTCCCAGAACACCGCGTATCCTCGATAATAAATTACGCGCCTCATGAGACGTCATACGTACCTTCGTGTTGCTGCCAAAAGCTGCTTGCGAGCGCGCGTACGCGCTCTCCTCTCCCTTTTTTGGTTTATTAGCGAAAAGAGAGCCGGCGATTGTTTTTATGTTACTCGCCCGAGCGACGAGTGTATCAATCGCCCGTGAGATTACGTTTCTCCCCGATAATAAATTAATGTCTCGAGAAGAGTCTTGTAATTGATGCTCACGTAGGGATGAAATCGACGTTGATTTATCGAACAAAGGATATCTCGCGCCGCGGTGCAAAGAGAAAAGACGGACAGAGGGAACGAGATAGAGAGATAGGAAGGGAGAAAGAGAGAGAGAGAGAGAGAGAGAGAGAGAGAGAATTTATCGACTTTTTCGGCGAGAGAAACGCGCACTTCCGCGACACGATTTTATTCCCGCGCGCCGAGCCGAAATTGATTCCGATTATAATTATCGCGCGTCCGATGACGCGCATTACAACGCGCGTGTTATCGCGCGTTAAAACAGCGCCATTTATCTATCTCGATCCAAAATATCGCGCGAATATTTTATATTCTCGCAGCACCAAAGGAGGACTGTTCTCCCTAGCTAGCGAAGGAGTGAAATTCGAAATTCGGCGAAGCGCGAGAAAAAGAGTACCGTAAAAATAGCTACTCGAGGTTGAATATCACCGCGTACGCGATGATGATGAAAATAGCTACTTTAACAAGCTACCAAGTTGCAAACGCGAATAACGAGAGCCGCGCGGTGTACTACGTGCATTCCCGTCTCCGAGGGCGGGGTTACGACACACTTCTTCAGGACTTCGTGCTTCCCGACGCGTGACGCGTCGCACTCTTCAACAGGCGAGACCGCGGACGAGGACCGACCTCGCGCATCGTTGTTACACGAAGGTGTCTCCGACGCGAAAGTCCCAGCTGCAATCTTTCGCGGTAAACCGCGGTCGACACTTGTTCACCGAAACACGATCCCGAGAGTAGGACTGTATCTACATTTTGATGGAACGTCCAACGAGCGACTACGTACGGATCTCGGTGCGACCATGAGTCGGAGATGGTCGCCGAAAGCCGCGATATCGCTCGTCAAGGAAGTCGCTTGATACCGACGTCCTGCTTATTCATGACGAGCATCATCAAGCTCTGTGGTCGCGCTCGAGACTAGAATAAACAGGCCGAAGATAGACATCGTGTAAAATAACGCCGACGATAGGGTGAGATCGCGATCGTAGGGTCGATACTTTATCGAAAGAGTATTCGCGCGATAAGTAATGCTGGTGCGTTGACGTTGACAGGCAAGCGGGAAGAACTTACACACGAGTGTGTATGTGTGTGTGTGTGTGTGCATTTCGTATTTTAGAAATGGTTCGACTACGAAATCGATTCCGACGACGAGTGGGAAGAGGAAGAGCCAGGCGAGTCCCTCAAAGGATCCGACGACGAAAAGGACGAGGAGAACCCGGAAGATAACGAATACGACGTCGACAACGAGTTTATGGTGCCGCATGGGTAAGTATCGTGCAAACGACGATTGAACGTCGCGAGTGAGCGAGATTTGTTCCGAACACAATCGGGAATTCGTCTTTTCGGTCTCGAAGTATTAAGTCTGAAGCTGCGAGAACGATTAACTTCGTTATCTCTCGGCATCATTGTTAATATTAATTCATACGACGCACACGCGAGGATCGCGAGCGCCGCGTTACATAAAGATAAATAATCGACATAGCCGAGTGTGCGTTTATTATATTTTGCGAATATGTGCGCGTGCTGTTCTAAGAAAAGCATTTTGCAACTTAGATACTTGTCCGACGAGGAAGCGCGGGCCGACGAAGAGGAAATGGAAGATATTATAGTAAGTATATATTATAATGATAGAAGTTGAGAAGGAGTTGCTCTTTCTTTCTCTCATATACAAGAGCTTTTACTTGAATATACGGGTCAGCGTGAAACAAGCATTGTCCGCCTGTTGCAGTCGCCGCAAACACAGAAGATGAAGCTGAAACTACTAGGCGAGCAATTCGAAGCCGAAAGAAAGACGAAGACGCACAAACTGCAGCCGAAGATAATCGGGTGCGTTTGGCAAGGGCCCAGCAACGTACTCTCGGATGACGGTGAGTATATTTTAGCCGCGAGAAAAAAGTATCGTCCTGTTTCGCACACGCAAACGAATATTGTCTCTGGTGATTATACTCATCAGTTTTGTTCCTTTTGCGTACTCGTGCGTGTTGCATTTTTTATTTTATCTACAAACTTTTTACAAATACTTGTCACGTGTGCTCTTTCCGTCAAATGGATATTATAACGTGTATTGATCGAAACTGCATTTCAGCACCTACGAAGCTCCGGGAGTTCGTGTCGATACGGCAAATCTGGGTCAGTCACATATCGATAATATTTCCGTCATCGGTGTCAACGGAGAACAACGCCGCGGCCGGTGAGTGCAAAACGCCATCGCAACAGTCATCCGGCCGAAGCGGGAAGAAGAGCAAGTTGCCCGACGAGGCTCCTCCTAATCTGGTCAGCGGGGAGCTAATGCGAAACTGGTTAGGCTTCCGATCGGAAACGCAAGTTTCCGACTAACGAATGTCCGCGTGTGACTCATTTTTTGTGCCTTAGGACTGTTGCGAATCTTTCGAGATTGATCGCACGCTCGCTCCTGACGTGTTGGAAGGGTGCTTAGCGATTGGAAACTGTCATCAATCAGTTTTGTAAATTGGAACTGTTGTTCTTTTTTTCTTTTTTTCTTTTCTCTTTTGTAAAAATTATGGAGAAAGCGCAGAAAATGCAGAAAAGATGCGGAATATGATTCAGGACCTCCTTTCTAGTGCTTTCGCAGTCAATTACATTATGTGAAAAAAACATTATAATTAATCCTGTCCGGCAAGGAAACTTTCGAAGATTCTGCTATGTGCGAATTATAAAGACGCATCGCAACCCGCAAAGTGTAGGCAAGAAGCGGAATAATGTGTTCGATTAACCCCACGAGACAGAATTCGTTCCAGAATAATATTCTCACTTTCATGCGCTGCATCTCAACGAACATTGCAAATGCTGTGCTGCCAACGGACACGTTTATATTTAATATCTATCAATATTACTTTTTTATAAGATCCTTGTTGCGATAAATGTTTACGAAATATATTTTATATCGATGAAAAGTTGTCCTTCCTTCTTGCACCATCACGACGCGAAAGATGGCTGCTCGCGATCGCGTTTTATCAGAGGAAGCGAAGGCGCCGTCGTCGTCGACAATTTCAATAATCTGTAGTCGCTTTTACCGGAGTGTCCTTTTTGTCGCCGGAATGAACTGTACGATCTCCATCGACGGAATCGAAAAATGTGCAATCGCCCACAGAGGAAACCCGTTTTCCTTTCGGAGTGCAGTCATCCCGTGAAGCGGTTGCACCTCGCGATCGCGATCGCGCTTGTGCGGGGGAAAGAACCGAGAGAAAAAAAATAAGACCATTCGTCCGGAGAGGAAGTTTTACAGTCGGTAGTTCGGGACCGTACCTCCGGGGTGTACCACCGGGCCGCGGCATATGGCCGGAATAACGAAAGGGCGCTCCCCGAGATTGCGGCAATTATCGAGTTACGTTACGAGATCCGAGCCGTTAAGACGCGGCCGTAGAAAACTCCGGGCCGCGCAAGGGCCACGGACGACCGCTGCGAGAGAGTTTTATACGTGAATTACGCTAATTTGCGATGATTACTTCGTGGCGGTACCAGAAGACCCCGACGAGAAGCGGCGGCGGCGTAGCGATTTGCCGGAAGGAACGCGTCGTTCGCGAGTCGAGGAGACGCCGCTACCGCCACGTATAAGCGTCAATAGTCGCCAATTTATTGTGGTGGAATCCCGATTATCCCACGCGAGTCAAATCGACTTCGGTATTCGACGGCTGTATAAACGGCAACGGAGATGTATCAACCTCTCGTGATATGATAAATGTGATATATCTTATTCATGTATATATTTGTTTTCAGGACAGGTAAGTAAGAATACGTGACCAACTGTGTCACGTAGGTTTGTGTGTTCGCTCTTAACTCTCGCTCGACTCCATACTAAATTTCATGTTGAACGACGTTTCTCAGACATTGCACTTTCGCGAGTCGAAGATGCGCGTAGTTGCTCATAAATCTCCCATTATCTCGTAATAAAATCTTTAAAGAATTCCACGAGATTACAAAGTATGGGCCGGGTTTCCTCGATCCCAAGCGCGAACTTACATATATGTGCACGAGATCTGCTGATTAAATACCAACAGAAAATTTTTAATTACGCGATATATCCTCAAACGCGAATCAACGCTGGGAAGCTTGCGTCACACTCTGAAATCAGATCTAGGTATCTCACGTGAGACAAGTCGGTATTTCTTGCGCGTCAAACAGCGAAGCGCGATAAAAAGAGGTGTGAATATTAAATCAAGTTCAAAGAGACGCGCGAGCGTTTCGCGCACGGGTAATAATTTTCCGACGATTGGAGGAGGTCTTGAAAAAGCAGCAAGCACGAAAGCATTGTTTCGCGATATCGCGTATTTAGCGTACATACGCGGTAAATTACCGTCCACCATGTACACGAACGGCCCGGCGAGACTGCACCCGCGCGCGCGGCGTAATCATCGGGTTAATTAAAATTACAACTATTTCCAGTCCCGCGAGGTACCGGCGCGGAGCTCGAGCTCTACCTCGCTCGAAAAGCACGCCGCGCACGTTGTTCACCGGCGCGTGAGTAATGTCCGTTAATTATTTGACAAAGTGGAAAAAATATCCAGCAAGGTCGAAAGAGAAAGAGAGACTGAGGGAAGCGCACCCCACGGGTGCCGGAACCGTGAAGTATAGAGATAGCGGCACGAATTCGGGGCTCCTACATGCGCGTCAAAGTGCATCACGTAGCTGGATGTTGCGCGAAAACAGCGAGCGAGCGACCAGGTGAAACACATTACTTTATTCGAGGCAACAGCGAGCAGTGTTGTTTCGTTATCGCGACAGAGCCACACTTCATATCCGACGAGCCGATGGACACGAAGGCCCAGTCCTCTTCACCGGTTCGACTCTCGCGAATTCAGAGAGGGAAGGTGAAAAGGGCGTCTTTTTTTTGTTTCCCAACCCGGTCCTGGTATGCGATCTCGCGGACGACGCGGCGGCGGCGACGGCGGCGACGGCGAGAGACGCGGAGGGTGACGGTGGTGGTGGTGATGGTGGTGGTGGTGGTGGTGGTGGAGGTGCAGCGGGAAGCAGAGAAGCAGGGAGCAGAGAGGGCATGAGAGGAGACGAAGCGGGAATAAAGTGGAGTAGACCGGAATAGAGTACAAGGTGTATGCCTAGAAGGTATAGAGAGAAAATGGTAGCCAATGGCGCTGCCTCGGCGTCGTTGCTACAGTATTGAACGTCTCCTACGTGGGGTCCAGATCTCTCGTCCTCTTTCTCTCCCCCTCCGCCCGCCCGCTCTTCTCGTCCTCTTTCTCATTCTCTCCTCTCTCGCGTCCGTGCATCTCCTTCCCTCTCTCTCTCTCTCTCTCTCTCTCTGTCTCTCGCTCGCTCCTTTTTCGTCCTCTCTCTCTCACCACCGTGCCACCCGACCTCCGTTTCCTCCTGGTCGTCCTCGTCCTCGTCCTCCACCTCCTCCTCCCCCGCCCCTCTGCTCGTCCCTCTTTCCTCTCTCTCTCTCTCTCTCTCTCTCTCTCTCTCTCTCTCTCTCTCTCTCTCTCTCTCTCTCTCTCTCTCTCTCTCTCTCTCTCTCTCTCTCTCTCTCTTTCTCTCTCTCTCCTCTCTTCACCTTCTCTCTATCTCTCATTCCACGTCCCTCACTGCTCCCCCTTCTCTCCGCTGCCTCTCTTCCTCTCAGCCCCCTCGCTTATCCTTCTCTCTCGCTTCCACTTCCATCTTCCTCTCGTCTTCTCGTAACCCGACGACGTCCTCCCTCCACGATCTCGTCGTAGGGTGGAGACCCTCCCTGGTCCTCCCTACCTCGACCTCCTACGTGCCGGTGCTTCTCTTCGGCTCTCATCTCACGGGGTGGAGGTGGGAGGAGGTGGAAGAGGTGGAGGAGGAGGCCTCTCGGTAACCTCTCTCCATCAGAGACGATCCGTGAGTCTGCTGCCGAGATCCGGAGTGGTGTGAGGTGGTGGCCGCCTCTATATCCTCTCATTAATATCTGACCTTAGGAGGTCCGAACGACCTGTACAACCGTGGCGGTCTTTCTCTCTCTCTCTCTCTTTCTCTCTCTCTCTCTCTCTCTCTCTCTCTCTCTCTCTCTCTCTCTGTGGCTCTCCCTCCTTTTCTCTGTCTCTCTCCGTCGATTCAGATCTCCAGTGACAGTCGCCGCGAGAAGATGCATCGTATACGTCGCTGTCACCTAAGTATCGCCGTTTACAGGCCGTAACAATGCTCTCCCTCGATCCGCGATGGACGCTTCCGAGGCAACTCATTGAAGGTACCAAGTACCTACGCTGTACAATACAACACCGCGGCAACATATACAACGAGGAACATGAATAATGACTTACATCCAGGTACATTTCCCGACAAGAAAAATTCCCCATCACTGCAACTCAGACGCATGTTCACCAAGTACAAAGTAGACCGCACCCATACATTCGCATCTCGCACACTCGCCCGCGAGATGGATCTCCGCGTAACAAAAGGGCGACGTGAGAACAATTAAAATGGAGACGGAGAATTTCGGCGCGTATCGGCGCGAGTTGCTCTCGTCGGATGCACCGACGCGCCGCGGGAATGACAGCGATTATTCCCGCAGCGGGGTATCGATTTAATGACGATCGGCGGCAAATTGCGGCGCGGCCGATGATCGAGTCGCGGATCGACGCGGCTCTCGCGGAGAATGATTGCGGAAGAGCGAGGCGCACGGAGGAAGGGGACTCGGGACGGTGGGGGACGGCGAGGAGAAAAATGTTGGGAGACAGGCGGGCCGGTGGGGCGAGGCGGGGGTACTTAATTGAATATTCAGGGGGTACGATTGATGCGCGGTGTCAGTAGCCGTGGCGTAGCTGCCGCGGCATGCGGCGGCGTAATCGACGTAATATGCCGAGTCTTTACGGGCAATTATGCCGAGGTCGAAACGCATGCGAGAGCAGTACTCGCGCTCGCTCCCCTTCCTTTGGCCGTTCTCCTTTGCTCTCTTTCCCCTCTCTCGATCACATCACGTACGCGTACGTAGATAAGTGCCTATGCACGCCTATCGGCTTCGGCGTTGCGTGAGTCCCGGCGAAACGGGGATGACTCCTCGTCAACGGTAAAGAGGGCCGATTGATATCCGCTCGGCGCTCGGGGCGCGGGGGCGCCGGGTCTGTAATTTGTAAGGCTCACCCTTGACCCGCCGGATACACCGACGTCGGGATTCGCGAGCCAGTGAAAAATCTCGGGGAATGTGTATCTCGAGGTGTGTTGCGCTTAGGTAAATATGTTACATATATGTAATTAAACTTTACTCTCCGCGGATCCCGCCGCTCGGGGAGGGCAAATATGTTGCGTCGGTCGCGAACAGGTCGTAATAACCGAGTTGCCGCGGCATCCCGATTCGGCGTGCATCGCGCGCACGTGTATGTACTGTAATTGCGCGCGGCCGGGCGGCGGAGGAGCAGCGCGGCCCGCGCGGATTTAGTGCCGAGCGTCTTAATACGAAATTGCGGGTCGCGATGAAGTGGTTACGATGCATCCATCTCTCAGGCATCACGAGGAGAACGTCATCCCAGACGGTGCATCGAGTGGCTTGAGTCGGAGGCGGCGGCGGCGCGGCAGCGGAGGCGGTGGTCTCTTCCTTTTTGCGCGGAATAAAACCCGGAGGAGAGCGACCCGTAAGAGCGGACGGAGCAGTCCTCGCGCGCGCGGTCTGCAGCTGCTGGATCTTATGCTAATCCCACCCCCGGAGGCTAACCCCGGCGTGCGCATCCCATGAAAAAGTTGCTCGTTACACGCTCGCCCATAAATCTCCCTCCTAAGCTTAATCTGTCCGCCGCCGCCGCCACCGCCGCCGCTCTCTCCGAGCCGCGTCGCGGAAAACTCCTGCGGACCCGGGCGGCAGGTGTATACGTACATCTCTCTCTCTCTCTCTCTCTCTCCCTCCCTCCCTCCCTCTTTCGCCCCGCCCGCGGATTTTCATAATTTTTTATCCTTCGGCGAGAATTTAAATCCCTGC